CCCTCTAAAACAGCAGGCTGCAGAACACACAGTTGCAGTTAGGCTGTGGGTGGAGGAAGGATCACATCCTTTTCTAAGTAAAAGTACTAATACCCCACTTTAAAAATACTGCACTACCAGCACAGTGGGGGTACAACAGAAGCCTTTCCTCTGCTGCTGGAAAAAATCATAGAGGAAACACTAAAACCAATTTAAAAATTGTCTTATTTTCTCTGTTGTATATTAACTATTGCTACTATTGCTTAAATATAGCAAAAGTATTTCTTATCTGATTAATTAATGGAATAATCAATTACTTAATTTACTAATAGCTGCAGCCCTACTTACGAGTACTTGATATTAGGATGTCACATATGGGAAGGCGTCTACAGTGAGGAGACAAGACTGATGGGGGAGAGAGAGCGAGAGAGAGGGGGACAACTGGGGTAAATTATATGGCTTTTAGCCTGCCAAGTCACATAGAGACTAAGGTACTATGTTTAGTGATAGGTTGTGGTGTATTATTTTTAGGGCGTTTTTAAGAAGATGTAAAAGATATATACTAAAACAACATAATGTTTGTTAAATGAGCCAAGTTTGAAATAAACAGCTTGTGCTGGCATGCTAATAAACTTGAGTGTGTTCACTGGATGAGCGTGCTAAAGTGTACATACTGTTGGGTGTCGGGGGTAGACCGTCTCCAACCATGCTCTCGGATTCTGTAGGAGAAAAAAATAATAATAATTCAGCCTTAGAGAAATCTGTGAATAGATGTATGTGTGCTCATATCTGCTCATGGCTTCCACTTCCCATTAAACCATTCAGAGGCCAAAAAATAAAATGAATTAAATACAATTCCCGGCCAAAACAGGACATGCATGACTCATGTTGACGAAGTGAATAATTTTAGGACCATACTGTCCAGAGAGGAAAAACACAGCGAGCAGTCACTTATTATTTGGCTCTTTCATAAAGACTATGTAAATACATAGGTACTAAAAAATAATAACGTCTCTTACCTCTGTGTGCCCTGACGTGTGTCTGAAAGCAGTTATAGTACTTGTACTTCTTCCCACATACTCCACATACATAGGAACCTGCATGAGAATTCAAAACACTGTCATAAAAACAAGGTGGCAGTATTATCAGGAGTACATGTAAATAGGATATAATAAAACTTAAGAACTCAGTTCTGTCTCGTTATCTTAGTCCCCATCATAACTACTGTGAATATCTATCACAGAAAACATTAGAGTAACATTAGAAAAATATTCAACAAAAATATTACCAATAATCTAATAATGTTCTAAATAAGTTACAACCCTATATTTTCTCATTTACCCCTAATAGTACGGTCTCCAGCCATGCAGGTACTCTTGGCTTTATCCACCCAAGTTTTGAGATATGTTGTTAAGATTTTAGCTGCCCCAATACTAAATACTAAATACTACATAAAATGAAGGTTAATGACATTTCAATTGTGCTCACAGGATTAGAAGATTACATATAAAACATTTAACAGCAACAATACACTTTTCATAGGGGGCCTTTTGTAGAAAGTAGTTCCAAAAAAAAAAAATACGCTTACAGCTAGGTCAGTGGATTTTCCTGAGTAACCAGGACATAGTTTCTGAAGAGACACTGCAAAAATCTTTTAAATGTCATTTTTAAATGCTGCGCAGTTTGTTCGTGTTGTTTTGTCAGTCAGGGTCGAGAGACGCCAGACAAGATTTCAGTTAGGAAATGCAAGTGTATATATCCATATGTATATTCACACACCTATGCATGAGTCTGTGCTCTTCGTTGGAGGAGGAGTACCAAGGGCAAACATACCCTCGGTCTGAGCTCTACGGGATCCACCTCCACTTGCTCCTCCATCATTTCCTCCAATAACAACGCAGATCTCAGCAGGGTTGGCATCACCCACTTTGCCGTTACTCGTCTCCGAGGTTCCAGGCTCTTTCTTTATTGTGACAGGTGGCGAACTAGTATTCTTGGACTTTGGGCCTAAGGTTGGTGAAGGGCCATCTGTGGCTGCACTCCCACCGTCCGCCTGCTCCTTCCCAGGATTGGGTGCCTCTTGTGCACTCATGACTCCACCTCCTCTGAGCCTGTGCTTCTGTATCAGGGAGATAAACAGAGAGACCGACAAGACTATATTTTACTGTCCTGTAATGATACAGTCTTGATTCAGGCACAACTTTTTGCTCAACTTATAGTATCAGCTTTGATTTGCACCTACCTAGGTACCTAATTACCTTAAAGCAAGCTGCACATAATAAGCAGTAGCCTGCATCTGACAACTATTGAAAGTCTAGAAAAACCCAAACTGTAAGACAACCACCCTCTTTTTCCGTAATATGTAAGAGATGTGTGCGTTAAAAATGCACAGGATCAACAAAACGGTAATGTATCTGTGACAGTGTAATTTCAAGGAAAGAAAGAAAGAAAAATTCTTATTGGCCATGAATGAACAGAGTGGCTTAACTGTTCATAAGCGACCTTTGATGGCATAAATTCCACAGCTTTGTGACACCCAAATGCTCTAATTTCAGAAATATCCAAATTACACAACTTGCCACTTCTGCACAGGGCTATAAAAGGGCTTGTCAAGAGAATGTGCTCAAAATGCAACCAAGCAAAACAGAGTTATGCCAGGATGACTGATATTATGGAAAGAGGGGAAATTGGTCTTCTAATAATAGCGCACCAATACAGCAACAACAAGCCTTTTCAGAGCCCACATACACCTTTCTTTGGATATGACACACGACCAAGAAGCCTCAGCAAACAGACCCGTGAATTGGATAATGTTGACAATGACAAAACATTTAGGGATTTCAGTTCAAATTGCTCACCTTAAATAAAAAGTACTGTCAGCTCCATTATACAGTATGAGCAAACTGAAGGTTGTGTGTTTGTTTGATTTCCTAATACTTCCTTCACAGATTTTAAGGTAGATTCTATGTACAATTGTAAACTGTGTTTCATCAAAATAAATAGAGAATAAGAATATTTCATGAGTATTCAGTCAGTTGTATCTTGTAATAAACAAAATTGTTGGACAAGGAAAATCTGACCTCCCAGTGGTGCTACAGAAGAGGTCAAGGGCTCACCACAGCCGGGATTCATCCCCTGGGGCCAAATATAAAAGAAAGCACTCCATTTAATTAATTTGATCCATTTCACCTTTTCTGCTATGCTCATTTTTTCTTTTCAGTTTCATTGAAGAGACTGTCCTTTTCAATTTCACATTAGTTTCCTTTACAATTTCTTATTAGTATTTTAGCAGTAGTTCTTAGTATTTCTTTTTAGTGTTTTTATTTTTTTGTATTTCCTGTTTTAAAAGGCATTTACATTTTAGGTTTTCAATTACCCTTATATTACTTTTTTTTTTTACATTGTTTGGTTTTCACGAGTTGCATAATGTGTACAGCAACTGTATACACCAGTGTAATGTGATCCACATTGTCTGGACAGACAGTGCGAGCCAGAATTTGCTAACAAGCTGTGTTTATATTCACAGGTTATCAATGGGACCTTGTTATGCATTTTAAAACCTGTGAATAAGTACTGCTGTTGAAAAGAGAAAATGTCTCCAACTACTGAACATTACTAAAGAAATGAACCAGACAGCTTCTCCATGATACCAACGAACTTATGAGCCAGGCTCATACAGCTTTAACCAGAGGCTCATACAAATTTAAGCCACGCATCTTTAAACTTTCATATGTGTATGCATGTGTCAATACATTAAAAGTGTAAAACCAAGCTTTTCTGTGCCAATGGCTTGGTTCAGTATAGTCTTTGGGAAGCACTTTAAAAGTTGGGGAAACCAATGTGTGACAGTGTGCTGGGTAACAGGGGAGGACTTAACACCTCTGTGAAACATTTTGTTAAACTTAATCATGGCCTTATTACCACCAGTAGTAAAATAAAAAGTAATGTATTGCATTTCATACTGGTTACTATTGGAATCTATTGTGTGAAGGGGAAGAGATAATGATGCTTTATAACTTTCAGTCTTGCTTGACATTGTCGGAAATGTGTTAATTTAATTATATATTTATCATGAGGTCATAGCATAACAGGTAACTGAATTAACACCTCTATGACATAATATGACGATTATGCCTAATAAAGTGGCCACAGAGTGTATTCTAAAGGTTAAGAGATATGAGGGATGTGCCGATCTAATCTCAATGGTTGGTATCGGCGCCAGTCGTTACAGCTGTTAGTATCGGCTTTATTGAGTTTTATTGACCTAATATCTGATCCTTTGTTGTTACGTCAGTTGTTTTTACTTATGAATAGTTCACGCACGGTGCAGCCATAACCATAACCAACTCTCTACGCTGTCTGCCTCTCCACTCTGAGCTCTGTGTCAGTGTGAGAGCAGGAGAAGCACCGCCCGCTGCAGAGTTTCACCGCAGGTGGTGCTGCCTCTGCTGGGAGCACGGACAGCAGCAGAGATCCAACACAGCCACCCTCAACACACCACTGCAGGTGCAACAAAAGCCCCGCAAACAACAGGCCAGTAAGATTAACTAATTAACGTAATCCACGCAAAAGATATACAGACAACAGAAATACACACTCAGCAGAATACAGACTGTTCATTCAGGTAACTCAGGCAAAGGCTGCACTAAAGCAACAAACACTGGAGAGAGATTCTCCTTCCAGACAGCGATAAGACCAAAAAGATTACAGAGAGCGTTTGTTATTTTATACTTTGTGTAAAAAAATTAAGGAATAAGCTTTTATGAAGACATTTTTTTCTTAATGCAACGTACAGCTATTCAATTGTCAAGAATATACATTAGGTTGATTTTATGTACTTCGGCACCGAGCACTGTATTAAAAAAAAGAATAAAGAAATACCAGTATTGGATCGGCAGGCTATTTTACAGCATAACCAAATTTTAACTTTTTAAATATAAGGCAACATAAACTTCACTGTGGATTGAACTATTAAAAAGATCAGCAACTATTTTTGATAATTAATTCGTCGTAGCAGAAATTCAAAGCTTTGGCTCCAGGTGCTTAAATGTGAGAATTCTGATGCTCTTTCCTTGTATTACATTATAGTACATTTATTCTTTCAGAACATAGGATAATAATGATCCATAATTTTATATTTGATCAGCTTGTACTCATTTTTCTCTTTTTTTGTTATAGACCAAACAATTAACAGAAAAAAATCTCAATTATTTTAAAACAAATTACAAAACTTAAAAGTTGAGCACCCGGTTAGCCCACCTGGTAGAGCTGGTGACCATGTACTGAGTCCTTGCTGCAGTGGCCCAGGGTTCGAATCCGACCTGTGGCCCTTTGCTGCGTGTCATCCCCTCTCTCTGCCCCCCTTTCCTGTCTGTCTTCAGCTGTCGCTATCAATTAAAAAGGCAATAAAAGACCAAAAAAAGTAATAAAAAAAACTTTGAAAAAGTTTAAATATGCATCCTATTTATGGATCGAAGCAAAAAACAATCACATATGATTATCTATTCAGAATGTCCCTTTTATTTAATATTTAACACAGCAGCAGCAATTATATAGTTGCGTGTCGGGTAATATTTATGTTCATTACTTTTTACTTAAGCTATAAATCAGAGAAACACCATAAAATTATGACACTGGTATCACCATAAATGTAGTTGTCACACTGAAAAGAGGAGTAAATTTTAGCATAGCTACAGACAGTGTCCGAAAATTACACCATAATACGGCAGAGACTCTCCACATAGATTATTATTACATGACTATTTTGGTACAAACATTTACCCAACGGTGTGACAGATAGCTTTCCGAGATTTAAACTTAAAATATACTCACATTTGGCACTTGGCAGGTGTTAATTTCAGCCACTGTTTATATTACAGAATGCACCTATAATAAAAGCTACAAAATGTTCCTTACAAGGCTTGTTGCAGTGGGTAGTATCAGCGGTGGTATGCAGTCCACAGTACTCAGTCATTCATTCAATCGGTGTAATTCCACATGAAACACCATTTGTGTTTGAAGCCACTTTGACAGCAAAAATGATAACCACAAAAATAAATAGCACCTGCAAGTGAAAATGTCTCAACTTTAACATTTTCTGACTCATGGAAAAAGAAATGATGTAAATGCAGAAAGATTATGGGAGGAATTTTTTTGCCAAAACAAACAGCTCCAGTATGGCAGCAGTTTAAGTTCAGCCTTGAGCCAGCTTCTCTATGCAGGCAAGTTTGCTTAAAGTATATGGGAAATTAAAATTTCGTGAGGCCTGTTTTCCATTTTTACTAGACCTACCGAGTCTAGACTGAAAAGCTTAACTACAGTATGCGGATTGTCTTTTTTTTTTTAAAGCTATTAAAAGGTAAATGGCTATGTTTTTATAATCTTCCTCTGGCTGAAAACGCTGTGTGAAAACTGTGTTTCTGTGCAAATTTAACAGTGTGTCATGAAAAATACAGTTAAGCAGGGCCTCTCTGTCTCAGCCTTTTTTCAAAACGTAGCCTAAGGGAAGCAATTTCAAAGTCGACAACACCAGTATTTGGCGGTGTTCTGGCAGAACTTACACTGGTATGAAGAATTTCTAGCGTGACTAATCCCCCACGCATACAAAAAGCTATGTGTCATCATTGTTCTTTTATGAATGATTGGGTAAAGGCCTTCTGTCAGCTTAAATTCCAGCCAAAACATACGATGACAGCACAAATACAGTGACTATTATCTTTGATGCATTTATCATTAAACCATTAAATTAACACGAAAGGAGATGCAATGACCATGTCACTTACTGAATGGAAACCATTTCAATAGAGTTCTTCAGAGATGTTGAGTAAAGGTCATACTGAAAGCTTTTTTATGGCCGGAACCAATAACGGATTGAACATAATTCAGAACAGCTGATCCAAAACCAATCAGCTACTTGTACGTTGGTCTGTATATGCGTTATTATATTTATAGAAATATTGCACTTTTTACTCCCCTACATTTATTTGACTTAAAAAGTTACTTTACAAATTAAGATTTTACATTGAATCTAAAAAGGATATAAAATACAACACATTAGGGCTGGGTTTAAAAAAAAATTAAAATGTATCTTTGTTTGAATGATCCGATATCAACACGTAA